ATTTATGATGCCTGGAGAGTAGTGTGAATTGAAAAGAAGACTGCTCTGATCTAATTTATGTGTATCAGGTATGTTTTATTTTTAAAATAGTTCCTGAAGAAAAAAATAAAGAACGTTGTAACAAATAAATAAACACATACCGTCAGCAACAAAGCAACAGCAAAAATCTGTGGTTGCATCTACATCTAACAAACCTCTAATGCCACCTGCTGGGGGAACAATAAAAGTGAGAATGAAGTCTCCAGCAGAGTACTAATTGCGTTATCTTTGTTACTGATGTCTTTCAAAAATTTTATTGTATTAAAAAAATCTGAAAAGATTTTAAGAAAGTCTATGAGTATAATCAGGATGGTGTACTTTTAAATACCAATATGATAAGAGTTTCTTTTCAACTGTACTCCAAACACTATCTGTTTGCAATCAAGAAATAATCCTATTATTTTTTCTTTCTTCTCTCCTAAATTATCCATCAAAAAACTCCTGAAACACATTTGAATTTTCTAATGTGCAAAGAATAGCTTATTAGCATCTCTGACTCCTTAAGGACATCACTTAACACTCAGCAATACAGAAAAAAAAAGCCATTTTCTTAAGCAAGCCCCATTATATAGAGCAAGGACATACAACCTCAAATGTAGCACTGGTCCTTCTTAAGACAAAACAGAAATAGAAAACAGTGGGGCCTATTTTTGAATATCCTTAAAATGTTTTATGCCAGCACGAACCTTCTGATACCTGACAAGCTGCTCCTCATGTTCAGGTGGAACTTCCTGTGCATCAGTTTCTGCCCATTGCCTCCTGTCCTATTGCTTGGCACCACGGAGCAGAGCCTGGCTCCATCCCCCTGGCACCTCCCTTCAGATGCTCACAGACATTGATGAGGTCCCCTCTCAGGGCCTCTTCTCCAGGCTGAACAGGCCCAGCTCCCTCAGCCTTTCCTCATTAGAGACATGCTCCAGAGCCTCAATCATCTTTGTTACCCTGCACTGGAGCCACTCCAGGGGCTCCATGTCTCTCTTGTCCTGAGGAGCCAGGACTGGACTCAGCACTGCAGATGTGCCTCAGCAGGGCTGGGCAGAGGGGCAGGATCAGCTCCCTTGACCTGCTAGCACTGCCCTTCCTAATGCACCCCAGGATTCCACTGGCCTTCTTGGCCCCAAGGGCTCACTGCTGGCTCATGGATGGCTTGTTGCTCACCAGGACTCCCAGGTCCCTGTCTGCAGAGCTGCTTTCCAGCAGATTGTTCCTTAGTCTGTACTGGTGCTCAGGGTTATTCCTACCCAGGTGCAGGATCCTGCATGACCCTTTGAGGGATTTCAGATAGCTCCTCCCTGCCCATTTCTCCAGTCTGTCTGATCTGTTCTTCTGAAGGGCTTCTGAGCCCTCTGGGGCATTGGCCACTCCTCCCAGCTTTGTGTCATCAGTGAACCTGCTGAACTTGCTCTGCCTCTTCATCCAACTCATGGATGAACAAGTTAAACCTCTGGAGGACACCACTGGTGACAGGCCTCCAACTAGACCCCGTTCCACCAGTGACAACTGTTTGAGATCTGCCATTGAGCCAGCTCTCAATCCATCTCATTGTCTACTCATCCTGTCCACACTTCTTGAGTTTGATTATGAGCATATTGTGAGAGACAGTGTCAAATGGAGGATCCAGGCCAATTACATTTCTTCTTGGCAGAGTATTTCAAAATCATTACACAGTATTCAAAAGCATCTTGTTTCCTCATTATTCATGGGTAACAGAACTTAAACTGCAGAGAACAATGTTAAGTCAACCTAAAAACTGCCAAGGCTTGTAAATTGTGGGAAATGCAAATCCTAAAGCCAAAGAGTTTTTTTTCTGTTTTGCCTACATCTCTTGCATGCTACTCACCCTGCAAATCTGTACAAACACTGCTGCTCCATAGAAAAAACAAATGGAAAGTCAGTTGTATGGACAGAGCACCATTAAGCAGGCGTACAGTTTTCAAAATAAAACAAATAGAAACTGTGAACTAGATAGATTTACCTCAGAGTAAAGTGCTTCTAAAGTAGGCTCTTGTTTTCATTTTGAGGTACAGCCTAGAAATACAGTGTAAAACTATAATTATACAGTAGTAAGATGAACCTCTGGCTGCAGCAGTAGCATCGGCAGTTTTTTTAACAGACTATAATGCGTCACAAAGTATCAGGATAAAGATAACAAATATATCAAAGTAGCTTACACACAAAGTTGTTAGGCACTTTTAAAGTACTTTCAGATGAGAGGGATGGAAGCAGAAAAGTATTTTTACCCAGTTACATTTACTGAAAGGAAAATAAACTAGCTGTTTGTGTAGTTTATGCATTTTCTTCCTGAAAGGAAAAAAAGGACTTAGAACATTCAGGACCCTTCTCATTTAAAAGTCTGTAACAAAACACAATGGAAGGCATCAACAGTTTGGAAAACAAAGGCTGTCAGTCCATCCACTGCAGACTTCCTGATAAATCCTAACCCCAGTGCAGTTTAACAGGCCACATCATTAACAGCAAAGACCACTCCACCAGCAGCAAAAATGAAAACTGTTAAGCCTGACTTTATCAAACAGACAGACCTACAACACATTAGTGAACAGATGAAAACAGCACAGTAACTTTGAGGATACTCATTGGCCTAATTCATAAGACTAAAATATAAGAATTTACTGTGACTCTTAATACTCACATAGCAGAAGAACTAATAAAACAGATATTTGTATAGTTGATGTGTTTTGACATGTAATGGTTTCACTTCCAGCTGGACCTTTCTGTTACACTGAAAGGTCACTTCCTCAGAGAGTGTGTAGATGACTAAGAGATTTTGTTTGGAGGCACTTTTTTTTCTATATTGTTTTTTCACCCCCAACATTTTTAGGTTTTGTCTTTTTTTAAATGAAAAATTTGCCTAGTCTGTGTGATATGAATGGAAGTTTGTTTGCAGGAAAGACCATTTAAAACACGAACATGTTTGCAGCACACGGTTGCTGTGAAGCTGATACTAAAAATGACCTTGCAACAGAAGATGGCTGTGTTCCAGTGGTTTTTATTGCAGTCCTCTGCCAACTTCATCCCAAATGCTAGGTATTGTTGTGATTCAGAAAGATATGGAAATACAGCTGACAAAACAGTTGATGAAGATGAATAAGCTGAGGAAGGAGAAGTGGAAAGAAGATGCACTTGCTCACAGAAATGAGCATGCAAACCTTACTTAAATTTGTGAAGGTCCACTGACGTAAACGGCAATATTTTTCCCATGTTAAATCAGACTTTATGAGACATTATCTTCTGGTCTTTGAGAAACATGGCTTGCACTTTTGAAGAACTTCAATTTCATATATTAGCACCATAGATTAATTTCATATTTTTTAAAGTACATTTTTCCCCCAGCATTTGAGGGCTGTTCAGCAGAAGGCTCTCATGCAATCTTGTTTCTAGCAGACAAAATAAAAGGTCAAAATATGATATAGGAGTGGGCAATGTGTTCTAGGTCCCCAGCAACATAGGCAAAAAGTTGCAGTTTTAGCTTTAGGCACAGCTGACATCATCTCTGCATTGTTGTGTCTCTTGTATGTGTACAGTGTGATCTAGAAAGCGGCGTATAATGGAGACAATCCCCCTGCAAGGCTGATGGCAAAAGCTGTGCACAAAAGAACAGTATATGCTACGTACAGCAGAGATACATCGCCGTTCTCTTTGTCGTACTTCTCAACACACTCAAATGATTTCCAGATGATGAGTTTTTTAGTATAGAATTAAGGTAGGATTTTAAATTGTTTTTTAAAGGCCTCACAATAACCCGGCACATTTTAGAGCCGAAGCTGAAAAACAAATTGCTACACATGTGAAGAGGAGGAATTGCTGTGATGGGCCAGGCTACTTCAATTCAGTTCAAAGCCCAAACACTGGTGTCACGTAAGAGAAACTTCAGAGGAAAAGACAAACTGAGTTGGTTGTGGTTAGCTGGGGCACAGCAAGTTGTCTGTTGTCTCTCTTTCAGGAAATATGAAAACCTTAAGCTGCAGGGAGTAGGAAGATGTTAACCTTAATCCAAACATCTTACGTCTTTGCATTAACTTAGTACCCTAATGAAACATGCTTATTTCCCGTATGAAACATTCAGGTCACTTTCTAAGATGTCTAATAAAACACCCTCATTTCTGAGGCTGTCACTGTCCAGCTTAGTGCCTTCCATACACAAGGCTTTCTCCACAAGAACAGAAAGGCTCTTCTGTGCAGCTGTGTGATGCTGCCAGCAGTTTGCTGGCATGGCCAAGTGCCCATGATAGAAGCTGAGCCCTCCTGTACTCTGTTTAATGTCCTACTCTTATCTGCAGTGACTTAAAGTACCTTTCTACCTTTGCACCTATCTCCACAGGTCCAGAAGATGGACTAGTTGTTCCATTACCCAACAGAAAATGGTAAGGGAGCAGCTTGCTTTTCTGCAGCCAAAAAAGCCCCAAGGTGAGCAACCTCCCACTCTCCCCCTCTCCTAAGTCACAGAGGTCAGTGTAGCAATAGCTCAGATATGGCTTTGTGCACCCATAACCTGCCAGAATGGGTCCCCTGGACTTGAGATTTCTGTATTTACTGATCTTCTCTGCTTGCAGTCTGTTCTTATGCTGTTGCAGCAGCCAATGCCATGACATCAGGACATGTAGGCTTATGTGAGCTGGCATTCAGCTTGGCAAGTCAGGTTCAACTACCACTGAAATGCAGCTGGCAATTCAACAATACACAGTCTGGCTGTGAATCTTCATAAACACGTAATTGTGTCCCAGCCTCTGTTTGAAATGACAGAAACTATCCAGTCACCCCATCTAAACATGGATTTCAAATCCTAATTCTATGCTATTTTAAGAAAAAAACAAGAAACAAACAGAACTCTTGCCCTTTGTTGTATTTATCCACAGCAATTCAGAGTGTTCAAACATACATTTTATAAACAAAATATGTCATTGTCGAGGTGGTCATGACACAAGCAGAGACGACAAGCAGTCTCAGATGGCAACTCTTTATTATTGAAAATGGCTGACCTTTTATACACTTCCTAATTGTTTATGCTTCTTCTACCCCAACTATTGGCCACAATAAATCAACATAACACCATTGTTGAAAAGTAACAGTGACTTCAGCTAACTTTCTAAAAATGCTTCGTCCAGCTGCAAAGTTCTCTCCTTATCTTTCTTCAATTCATCTCTTCTCTCAGTCTCCTTGGTAACAGCTTTGGAGAGAGCTCCTTATCAGCTTCTTCTTGCTTCTCAGCTTCTTCTCTCTCCTTTAGCTAACAGGCCTGCTGTTAGCCCCTTCCACAAAAACACTTTTATTAGCTAGAACATGGGTTATTTTGAATCAAGAATTAGAATACAGTTGGTATTAAACGATTGTTTCAGTTAATTTCAACCAAGACAAAGTTACTGTAGATTAACCTCAGGAGATAATAATTCTCTAGAAAAAAAAGGTTTTAAAAAAATAGATGGAATTTCCTTTTCCTCTTTGTATTTTGCATGTTTTGGCAATATAGTTTAAATCAGATAACTTAGCTAATAGAGCATAACACTAAGTGAAACCAGAACTTAATGGGAACTGTTACTAGACTGTTTAATTGATTTGTTCCTACTTCTGATGTGAAAATTATCCCATCATTACACTTATGTTTCCACTTTACTCAATATAATTATTTTTCATTATCCTTTCTGCAACAGCTCTATCCAAGAAAAACATCTTGAGTATTTAGAGATACTCCAGACACCTAGTCCAGCTTATTGGGTAACTGCTTTTAAGAATGGCCCTAGATAGAGAAAAGTCTTGTATTGTTTCTCCTTGTTTTATAGAAGCATCATAATGGTGTTTCCCTCTCTGGACACCAGCAGCCACATTCAGCCTGGTACAGAACTCAGAAATGGAAAAATATACTCGGGTGGGGCCTCTACAGACCACACTGTCACCTGAGTGCACAGTTACTGTGGTTTTTCAGAGTCAGAGGTGAAAAGAAATGGCTGGCCATGTGCAAAACAAAGAGCAGTCTCTTCTAAAACAAGAGACCCTCTTTACAATAAGCAGGCTAAGCTTGTCACTTCAGCATGATGCAGTGGCTAGAGAATATGAGCCTCAACTTAGATTAAAAAATGGTAACCTGGTATACTATATATCTATAGATCTATATCTCCTTCAAGCCCATGGACAGACTTGCAAATTATTACTATTTGTTATTTTAAATATCAGCTGTATCAGAAACCTCATTCTGACCTAAGTTCTACTACCCTGCTGCTGTGCAAACAGAGCAGAGTCAGTTACCCTGTAGCTCCTTTGGGATGCTGTTGAAAGCAAAGTTGTTGCTTTTGTATTAGGTGGTATGGTTAGATTACTTCAGGGATCCCTCTAATCATTTGGATACATTTCCATTTTTACACAGTATCCCTGACAGGCTCAATGATCTTTATTATTCTTGTCTCAATCATTGGTTCTAAGAAATGTTAGTAGCAATGCTTTGCTCATCAGCTAAACCAGTGACTGCTTTCATGCTCTTCAAATGGAAATCAAAGTTGTAACTTAGGCCTCTTCCTTCAGATGTTGTGACAAGTCAGTGCCACTGGTTCATGTTACTGTGTTACTGTAATTGGATTCTTTTCAGTATATGCCCATTTCCTGAAAGGAATAGGTGAGGTCTGTCTCTGTACTCTTCCTTGATCTCATGTTTCAGCAGGCTTGGCCAGGTAAGACAAGGAATGTGGACTGCTTTACCTTTTCTAATGGACAATTGGGAAAGGGGTTCCAAATTTAGTGAGTATTTTTCCCCCTCCTCAACGTAGGAGCAACATATTTTGATCTAACCGAAACTCCTTATCAAATAATTTAACCCAAACCACTAATGGCCTCCTCTAAACTGACTGCCATCCCATGCAAGACTTAACAGCATTAACTTAGGTTCCTTTGTTTAATTTGACATGAATGTTTTTTGTATATAGAATTTCTTCTACACACCCATTTCATAGTAGGTTTCTGTACTTCTAATTGCTGCCAGTACCCTAACACCCCTGTTCTCAAAAGATTTGTTATGGAATTATTCTAAAATATAAAATTTGATTTCTCATATATGGTCTGATACTCATCCTAGTGAATATATAGCAAATAGGGTTGAAAACCACAGACTTGCCAACAAGTGTTTACATTTCCATTTAATATGAGAATACATCCCCATTATGTAGTAAGAATATGAGGCACAGAAAAAAATAAATGTCATGATCCAGGAAAGAGAAGCCTTACTGTTTTAGAGAGTCATCTCCTACATGTAGTGGAAATATTACATATACCTTATAAAGTACTGTAATACATAGGACATATTCCTGGAAGAGAGTGATGAGAGCCATTTACAGACAATTAGCTTGTATTTTCTTCAGAATAAATCACATGAATTACACATGCAAACTGGAGTAAGGAGGGATTATGTAGCAGTGCTATTAAAACAGTCAGAAAAGCCTACAGTTCAATCTGAGTAGTCATACGCCTGACCAAGACCAAGAACAGTTTCTCCAAAAATTCTGATCAAAATTCACTGATAGAATCAGACAGAACAATGATATTAGGTCCTGAAGAGTCTGACAGTACAGTAGCACTATTGAAAATATCCCTGTTTTATCCATTTCAACAAAAATCATAATCTGAATTACAAGTATACTGCATAAGCACCAAGATAATATAAAGTAAAAGCTTATTCATCAAGTCCCTCTGATAAATGGTCCCCGACAAAAAAGCAAATTTTTAATGTACTTTTAAGTACTTTTGGCAAGAGATACAAGTTCCACAAAAGAAAAACCACTGCAAAGTCTGAAAAAAATTCTAAAACTTGTAAAAAAGATCAAAGGTAGAGCATTTCTAATAGTCTGAGAAGTAATGAAATTCACTCCAGTTCCTGAGATAAACTGTAGATCAGTTGTGAGGATTTACCAGATTGTACCGCACTCTCTTTCTCACCTTCTCTTACACACTGCACACAAGGTCAGAACTGAGGATTCTGCCTAAGCTTACAAGTCAGCAAAGCATGTGAAAGCTCAGAACATTCAAATTTTCTTTTCCACTATAAATACAAGAGACTGGCAACTCAGGTCAGAGACAGACAGACTTCTGCAACAGTCTGTCAAAATAATTTCCAGACAGAGGCAATTGCTTTAAATTAACTGCACTTGCATAATCTAAATTAATATAATTCTGCGCTTCTGTCTGGTTTTCACTGACAACTGTGCTCTTATTCAATCCCCCTGCTATTTAAAAGAGACCATAGATGAGTTCAAACTCCTAGGGTCAGACTTTTCAAAAGAGCATCTGTCACCTAACAGCTCAGCAGGTCTCTATGCTGGAACCATCATCAATGTGCTTCATTGCTACCAGCCATATGGTCAGTTTCTAACTTAGAATTAGTGCTGTGCTCCATCTTCTGTAACACTGCTGGAAGATCCAGTACAGAAGAAATAATATAATGAGGTACGGGGGAGGTATCTACTGGGGCAGTCATTGCTTTGTTTAACCAGACCGTTGCTTTCAAGCCAGCATTCAGGCCTCCTTGAATATCTGTATCTAGAGAGTCACCGACCATCACACACTCCGCGGGCTGCACCCCCAGGAGATCGCAACAGTAATGAAATATGGATGCCGCCGGTTTCTCCTCTTTCTGCTCTCCCCCCACAACGATGGCATCGAAGTAGGGCTGGCAGGCGCACGCCTCGATCTTCTCCCTCTGCGTCTGCCGCTCGCCGTTGGTGAGGAGCAGCAGGCGGAGGCCTTTCCGCAGCTCGGTGAGCATGGCCCGCGTGTCCTCGGCCAGCGTCAGGTGCTGCAGCCGCGTCGTCTTCCACAGGTAATAGCACTCGGCCGCCAGGTCACGGTTCGCCTCCCCGCCGATGGTCTCCTGGATCGCCTCCTCCCAGTGCGATATCCGCAGGTCTGTGATGCACATCTTGGCGGGATCGTGGCACTCCTTGAGGAGCTTGGCCTGCACCTTATCGCAGACGGCGCGGGCCTCTCCCTCCCCGTAGTGGTGCTTGGACTGCAGGGCGCTTATCACCTGCAAGGGACGCGGGGGCGCGCGTCAGGGCGCTGCGGGGCCGCGCGGCGCGCTCCCGGGAGCGGCGCCCGGCCGCGTGTCAGCGGGGGAGGGAGCGGGACACGCGCGGCACCAGCACCGCCGCCGGGCCGGGAGCCACGGTGGCCGCGGGAAGGGGGAAAAGGGCAGTACCTCCTCGATGGCGCGCCGCCCCGCCGCGGCCGTGTCGATCAGCGTGTTGTCCAGGTCGAAGAACACCGCCTTGACGCCGTGCAGCCCCATGGCGCCGCCTCCCGCCAGAGCCGCCCCGCTCGGACGGCGGAGGGGAGCGCCCCTGACCGCCGGCAGAGCCGCCCGTGCCGGGCACAGCGCGTTGGGGCCGCCCGGGGCCCGCCCCTCGCGTCAGGCCCGCGGGGCGGGGCCCGGGCCAGAACTGGGCTGCCTGGGGCGCGCTGGGCGGCGGGCGGCGCTGGCAGGTGCCCCTCCCGGCCCCAGAAAAGGAGGGCTGAAGGGGCGTAGCGCTCTGGAATGGGCTATGAGGAGAGCTTCCCGAATCCCAGCAGCTCGTGTGGGCTGGGGGTGGTGCCGGGCACGGCAGAAAGGCCACGGGAGCTCCCGTACCCCGGCTACCGCTGGGAGTGGCGGCGCGCCCCTCGCCGTGCGGGCCGTGGGCAGGGCCGCGGCTGAGCCCGGCAGCAGGAGCGGCTCTGCGGACCCCCGGGCGTGCCCTGGGCGGGCCCGCGCCGCGGTATTTGACGTCTATGTTTCGTTGTTTGGTGTTTGCTTTGGTTTGTTTCCTCTGTGTAGGAATGCTTTCTGGATGAGGAACGGGACAGCGGGCAGCTGGTTGGAAAATAACCTGTTGAGGTGCTGCCAGGGAACAGCTTTGCCGTGCAAGAATTCCCCCTGCAGCGCTTCCACGCGGGCCGGCCTGCCCGCTCCCGGCTGTTGGCGGCAGTTTGGCTGGCTGTGCCAGCCCCGGGCCAGCGGCTGCTGCCGCTGGGGAAGCCTGTCCCAGCCTTAGGGAACGGCACCACACAGGTCCCTGCATGGGGTCGCAGCGTGGCGCCCAAAGATGCCGAAGTCTGTAGGTTTTCACTCCGTGAACGGGGACCTGCACGAAGGAGGACGAGGAGGCGCACGTAAAAGATTCGGTTCAGATCGGCTTTCCCAGCTTCCCTGTTACCTTCTGGAGCGTGTCCTGCAGTTACCTCTGGGCACAGCAGCCACAGCACAGGGATTGAATCATCCATCAGCAAGTATTCCTAATAAAGCCAAAGTCAGTAACTCCACTGTAACTCCACTATTTTGAGACTCTGTATAATAATGGATTATTTGAAACTCCAAAGGTGAATATTTTATAGAGCAAATGAATCTCAAAGGCATTGGAGTGAAAGCCTGAACGGCCTTATAAAACAAGATTTTTAGGTGTATATACCAACAACTGTTTCAGAATTTTTGATTTTCCCCAAGGTGAAGTTTAACAGTGTATTGTTCATTGATAATGTTTTGAGAAACACAAGGTATTTTTAACAGCCATCTAGCAATTTTTCTTCATTTGATTTGTGTTTAATACTGCTAATGTCAATTAGACATTAATCGTTAACTGCAATTCACGAAGCTGGAGGAAACTGTCTTTTACCAAAAAACTGGAAGTTCACTCCAGGTCACTTTCAGTTCTAAAACCCACACCTTTGGTAGCAATCTCCTTATCTGATAGAAGACATTGAGTTACACGCAAGGCCAAAGCAGTTGTTCCAAAAGCTTGGCATATGGCAAGTAAAACTACAGAAGATAAGCCTTTAAGGAGACAGGTGGATTCTGAGAAGAAACAGAGATAGCTAAGGATCCTGTAGTTAAGGCAATAAGAGGAGTTTTAATAAAATGACTCTAGCTGGTTCTAATAAAATGTGTTGGTTTTGCTTGATAAGACAGAAAAGGTGTTAGGCATGTGGATTTTATGTGCCTCTACTGAATTACTGTTTTTCAGAATTTACACAGAAGAGTGACTTAAAAATAGGATGCATTCTACTTAGGAAGATGACATTTGTTTCAGAGAGCCCTACATTGCAGACAGTGAGCATTGGATCCTATGTGTACTTTTGGAAAAAGGTACATTTACATAAAATGTTTGTGTTTTCAAAGACCATTTGGACTGTTTATCTATCAGCAAGTGTGCTACTTTCTCCTTGTTCTCCTGTTGCTTGTTCTGCAGCTCACTGGAGGCTGGAAATCCCTCTCAGCAGAAGCTGAGAACCAGGAAAAGGACAAGCGGAAACATAAGAAAGAGTGCACATCCTAGAAGTGATAATGTAAGAATGCCAGTTTGGTATCTTTAAACAAGGAATTGCTCCTTTTTTTGCTACAAGATGATTATGTTTAGGAGTTCAACATTTGGAACTCTCTGATGGCTTTTTCCTGCATCTCCACTGGTGTCTCAATGGGCTCCTTTTTGGTTGTGCTAGTACTATGAGAGAGCAGGTGAGCTTGCTGGGTGCCCAAGTTGTTTCCTCGTACTGAGGAAGACCTAAGGCTTACTGCTGTTTTCCTTTTCTACAGCTGTCTGATTTCTGCTGGATACAGACCTGGCAGGGGGTGGATATCAAATCTGGATGATCAGGAGTAGTGACCTGTGTGCACAGTGGAAGTCATTTGCTCCACCCTTTACATCTAGCCCCTGAAAACTAATCTTGGAGATTTTTCTTTTCCACTTCCACAGAATATATTATTAATTTGGTGGCTGATTTTTTTCCTTTATCCCAGTAAGAGATTTATTATGAAGTGCATTCATGTTCAGTGATAGCCATGATATATTTCAAGCTCAGTGTGTTGAGGAATACTTCTCACACAGGTGTCTTGGCCTGCAATCTGCAGATTGAAATGCAGATTGGGCTCCAGGTTGGAGGTCGAGACAAGAGGCCATGAATTCCCAGCCTTTGGGACAACAAAGGACATGAAGACAGGTGACAGCAGCCAGGAGAATGGACAACTGAGAGTAACAGCCGGTGACTGCCGACCTTTTGGATAAGGCGACGCCAGTGCGATGGATGAACAGAGCAGGGAGGCAGGAGAAGACGAGAAGGAAGAGCGGGACTGACGCCCTGGGGACACTCTGAGGTTATAAAACGCCGGGGGTTCTTGGGCTTGAGGGCTTTGGAAGTATTTGGGTGCGCACTCCGCTGGCCATGCTGCGGAGCTATAGGGTGTGGTTACTGTAACAGGAAAAGGCGCCAGCGAGTCAGGGGCAAGGCCGGGGGCTCAGGTGTTTGCGAAGCCGCTCGCCTGCCTCGGCGCCCCGGTTCCCCGTAAGCTCAGGAGCGCCGGGCAGAGCGCAGGCAGCGGAGGCGCCGCTGCCTGTGCCGGGCCGAGCGCGGCTCCCGCGGCCTCAGCCCAGAGCCGCCCTGCTCCCCGCGGGGCTCTCCCGGCCTCGCCTCCCTTTCGCTTTCGTTTTCGTTCTAACGCGACCGGCACTGCGGGAAACGAAACTGGGCGGGGTCTGCGCAGCGCTCCGGGCCGAGCCGGCTGCTGGAGCGTCCGCGGGTCCCGGAGCGTCGGCAGCAGCTCGGAGGTACCGGCGGGGCGGGGGCGCGGGAGGAAGGGCAGGGTCCCTGCGAGATGGGGTGCCCGCAGCCCGGCTGCAGAGGCCTGGCCCGCCGCGCTCGGTGACGGCAGCCTGGGGTCATCTTTGGTCCGTGCGGCTGCGCCTGGCGTCACCGCTGCTCGAAGGGATATGTTAAGTGCCTTCGGAATCCTTCTGCAGGAACCGATTCTAATTCTGGAGAAACATTACTGATTATTTTCCTCCCACAGAAATCAGTTAGTGATTAATTCTTTTTCTGTCAAAAAACCTGCTAAGAAATCTTCTCTAATCACTGAATTCTCCACTCTGCTTTCTAAAACCCTTATTCCAAGCAATGACTTCCAGAACATTTGCAGACCAATCATTTGAATTAGAACTTCGAATTAGTTTCCCATGAACTTTGTTGCTGGCACCAATTTTCTATTTTATATCTTAGCAGTGACCTATCTACCAGGATTAGGGCTGCCTTTATTCCATGTTTAGAGCAACAGACACATCTTTGAATGTTACTTTGCAGCATCTATTGAAGATTGTGTCAAAATGGATCGTGAGTATATGACGAAGATCAACCGTTACAGTCAAATACATAAATGTACAGTGGTTTATGACACCATCGATAAAACGGGCCCAGACCATGATCCTGAGTAAGTTTACTCTGCGTGTCAATAACGAGCAGGGCTTTTCCTGCAATGAACAAACTGTGTAAAGTTTGCAGTCACAAATATTTATTTGCTGAAAGTGCATGTGTAGTGGGAAAGCTGGTTGAAACAATGAATTGAATGGTAGGTGCATGGGGAAGACATCATGTGATACAGTTTAAGGAGAAAACTTATTTCAAGGGTGATGGCTCTTTTTCAGAAAGTACCAGCAATGCACCTGTTACTTACTAGTAACTGTATCTTATATTATGCATCTCCTCTCAGAAGGTGGATTGGGTTACAGCAAGAATTTCAGTTTATGATTTCAAAGCTACAAAGCAAAGTGTTTACAAAGCATTGTTGATTTCTAGTCAAAAAGGTTGGGTGTATTAACTGATTTCATACTAACATACTTAATGTGTAGTATATTTTTTAACATCTCTTACAAGAAGAGGGTCGTTTGCTTAAGAAGTTTTGCTTTCCCTTTTAGAGACAATTAGGGTGATGGAATATATTTTATTTTTTAACACTGATACAGTGTATTTTTTCCCTTGCTAAAGGTTGTAGATACTCAAGATCTGTAATATTTCCTTGCATGATTTTTAAATTTTTTTTGCTAGTTTGTATGAGGACAAGGCTTATGCTAATAATTAATACATCTCTCTTGATGTGTTGCATGTTGTCAAATAGCACTGTCTATGCAGATTTAGTCTTAAATCTGTCTAACAGCTCAGAATAAATTAATAGATATTATTTGCATCTCAAATATTAATAGTTATCTTATTTTTTACCCATGTGGCTCATGTATTCAAAAAAGTAACTCTTATTGCAGTAAAGACCACAGCTGTGATCACACAGCAACGTCTTCGTTCTTCAAAAGTGATGGCATGGGACTGACAGAACTTACATACATTCCAAGTTGTTTATTCCATTTGTTGTGGTTTTTCATTGTTTTTTTCTGTGTGTTCTGCTACATTCACAAATGAAATTCAGCCCATTTTGTGACAGTGGTATCTAGGAAAATCCTGGGTAACTTGGGCTATTCCAAGGATACAGTGTAAAATGTCTGGCTGTAGTGATGTGTAAACCTTCAGTCCCTTATGCTTGCTGCTCTTTCCTGGTGTTCTGAATGCATTGACTGCTGCTGGTTGTGAGCTAGCTCCCTAACTCTGCTGTGGTGTCCCATCTCATCAGTCACCTTGCAGCTGCCTGAGGCATGATGCAGAGATACCTCCCTTCCTGTCATGGTTCTGGTGTGAGGAGACCAGGATGGCTCAGTTCTGAGCTTTCATGGTCAGGGAACACAGAGAGTGGACAATTAGGCCAGTCTTGCCTAAACCTGTCCAGTCTGGGAATTACTCATTGCCTTGGGGTTCATGGTGAGTGACTCCGCACTTACGACCAACTCATGTATCACTTCTGCCGGTAGTCCTCAGCTTGGTCCTGGAGACTCACTGCAGATTTCCTCAGGATGCTTAAATTATTGGTGTATTTTGATGCAGTGTCATAGCTGAATGTGTGTAGTATTCAGCACCTAGGTATGGGTTGGCTGATAGGTTCTTCTTGGGAAGGAGTTTTTCTTACATGTTTTGTTTTTTCTTTGTTGTTTCCTATGTGTAGAGTATACAGCACACTATGGGGGTGCCTGCTCCTACTGTTTGCCCCCTTAAGATTTCTTGTTAAGCCTTGCTTACACAATGAGAGCAAGCACTTTATTCTGCATCTTCATTGTTTTCCACCCAAACGCTTCGTTAAAGGGAAGTGGAGAATGAGATTGGAATAATGAAAAAAGTGAGTTCCTAAAGTCACTACACTATTTGAGACCAGTTTTCCCACACAGGAGCTCATGGTGCTGTACCTTGACTGTGTGAATCCATCTTGTTGGCTGTGAGCATTTACACACTCTGCTGCAATCTGAAGCACAGAGGTGCTCTGAGGCTATAATGGTCACTTTAACTTGGTGCAAGTGTGTGCCGCTGCCGCAGGCAGAAATCCACTTGTTGTTTTCTCCGCTGTTGCAAAGGCAGTATCAGAAACATTAGAGGATTTGCAGCTGCAGGACAAGTCAGATCTGTAAGGACTGATTTGTCTGAAATGCAACCATTCATTATTAGGGCACAGCGGTGGGTTGACCCCAGGAGGCAGTGAAACCCCCAGCTACCTACTCACTTCCCCCCAGTGGGACAGGGAGAGAATCAGAGAGGTGAAAGGGAGAAAAAACTTGTGGATTGAGATAAAGACAGTTTAATATACAAAGCATAGCTGGATGTGCAACCAAAGCAAAATAAGGAAGTTGCTTATTCCTTCCCATCAGCTGGCAGATGTTCCCAAGAAAGTGGGGCTTCGTCATGTCCAGTGTGTACTTGGGAAGGTAAACACCATAGCCATGGGTATCCCCTCTTCCTTCTTCATCTCCCAGCTTTTATTGCTGAGTGAGATGCCATATGGCATGGAATATCCCTTTGGACACCTGCCTTCCTTGTGTCTCTTCTCAGCTTCACACCTACCCCTCCTCTGCTTCCTGGGAGGCCGGAGTGGGAAAAAGAAAGCAACGGTGCTGTGCAAGCACTACTCAGCAGTAGGTAAAACATTAACTCTGTGTTAGTTCCAAAGCCACAACACATCACCATTCTGGCTGCCCTGAAGAAAGTTAACCCCATCCCAGCCAGATCCAGTCCTGTCAGTCCTGAGCTGCATCAGATTCCCATTCTGACTCATGGAGTTGCCATATGGGAAGCAGGACATGCACAGTTGTGGAATGGAGGAACAGAGAGGGAAGGGATCAGCAGTTGAGCACAGAAAGGCAGGAATGAGGCATGTGTTTGTTTGTTGGTAATTTTTTTGTTTTGTTTTGGTGGGGTTTTTTTTATGACTGCCTTTAAATTCATGTCTCACAAGCACCAGACGTGGTTTTTGCTCTTATTAAGCAATGTACATCACAGGGTACTAAAGGTGAGTGTAATGTCACATCTGGTTTCATGAAACCAAAATTAGCTAATCTTTCCTCTGTGTGGTGTCACACTGCTGAGATGTGTCCTGGTGTTAGGGCTTCACAATCTTGCTTGTAACAATGCTGACCTCATCCATTCTTATGCTTTTAAAAACTAAATTATTTTGATTTAAAAAAGCAGTTAAGCAGCTAAAAGTACTGTTTGAACTAATAAAGTGCATGTATTTGTGACTAAAGAGGAAAATTTAAAAAGTATTTATACTAAAGAATTATGATAATCATAAGGTTTGATATAAGAAAAGCACATTAATGCTTCAGTACTTCCCGTAGTTATCCTATAGTGCTTTGTTGATAATAAACCCCAAAGTTTAATCTGATAAGGTTATTAAAGTATACATATGGGAAAAATGTAGCAATGTTTTTGACAAGTTTCCTTCATTGCAGGTTCACAGTTGTTGTCAAAATAAATGGTGAGGAATATGGTAGAGGCACTGGTAAAAGTATAAAAGAAGCGAAAGCAGTAGCAGCAAAAGAAACATGGAAAATGATTGAGGAACAGGTGAGTAAACAGTAGGATTAAGTATTGGGGGTTACTAAGCAGTGTACATCACATGTAATGTAGTAAATGTTGCATATCTGAAAATAGATTTTTGATAACATGTTGTTTAATTTAAAACAGTTTCTAATTATTCAAGTTGCCTTTGTTTCTGTCGTATTCATCACTTTTCAACTTTTTATCACTGAATTGTTTTCCTTTTTTTTTTCCAATAGGGTTGATATCTAATACTGTGTTTCATCCTCTGCTGTTATAGGAGGATAAGGAAATGTATTTGCTTTTGTTAAGCTGCCTTGGTGTATCCAAAGGGGCAGTTGTCCTTTCATATCTTGACAATTGTTATATGATTCAATATCTACAAAACATTTGCAGGGCATTACTCAGTGTGTCTGTTGCCACTCTGCTAATGAAATTGCTTACTTTCACTTGTACTAATTAATCTTTTTTTCCTTTTCATTATATTCTTTACAGTATAGCTAGTTGTATACTCTCTCCTTCCTTGATTAAGTCTAGGTTTGAATTTTGCTCCTTAGTTTTCTGCCAAGTGTTTTGCCCTTCTTTATTTGCCATTCTTTATTTTTCTTTGCAACTCTGAATGCTTCTTAACACCTTTTGAGTGAAATCTTTCCTTACCTATTTCTATATGGCTTTTATTGAGTCATTGTCATTAACACAATTGCTGCATGTCTGCTGCTACATTACTGATGTTGACTAATCATGAGACAGCTGAAGAGTCCTGCTTTCCCCTCTTGTACATGCACAGGAGCATTTGCAGCCCTTGCTAAATGGGAGCATCAGCAGCATCCTGCTGCCATCCCTTCTTCACAGCTTGTTCCCTATATTTTCCTAAAAGGGGTGGGATGAGGCATGGTGAGAGGTTGTTAAAGGCAAAAGTGTAGTACTTGGAAAGCCACTTTTACGTTTATTCAAAATGTAATAATTATACTTGGGACGTCTGTCCTTTGCCACAAAGGACTCAGTTAATGGAAACTTGGGGTTTCTTAAGAGTGTTTTGAAATGTGGACAAACCTTGCAGCTATATTAGTTCTTGTGCACTGTTTATCTTAATGTATTTTTAAACTTAAGTTTTCAAGTTACCTGTTTTGTTTGTTTTATAGTCTAAGAGTCCCTCAAATATGGCAGCTGCAGATTTACCAACAGCTCAAACAACCTCAGCAACCTCATCACCTGCACCAGACAAGGATTATGTCAGCCTATTAAATATTTATTCACAAAGGACGGGTTACACAGTTGATTATACTAACAAAAATCGTACTGGAGATCCCCATGTTCCCACGTAAGATATAATTTACCTTCCTGCTTCCTTCTAATACTTTTTGTGTTTACTAATGCTACCATTAATTATCCTTGGTCATGTTTGCTGAATCTTTAGAAGGAGTCATACCATCTGCCTGAGAGCATTATCCAAAAGCTTCTTGAGCTCTGTCAGGCTGTGCTGTGACCACTTCCCTGGGGAGCTGTTCCAGTGCTCAGGCACCCTCTGGGTGAAGAATCTTTTCCTGATATCTGACCTAAACTTATCCTGATTCAGCTTCATGCTCTCTCTTTGAGTCCTGTCACTGGTTACCAGAGAGAAGAGATCAGTGCCTGCCCCTCCTGTTCCCCTCACAAGGAAGCTGTAACTGCAGTGAGGTTTCCCCTCAGACTCCTCCAGGCTGAACACAACAAGTGCCCTCAGCTGCTCCTCAAGGCCCTTCACCATCTTTGTTGCTGTCCTTTGAACACTCCCCAATAGTTTAATGTCATTTTTATATTATGGCACCCAAAACTTCCCCCAGCACTCAAGGTGAGGCCACCCCAGTGCAGAGCAGAGCAGGACAATCCCCTTCCATGCCCAGCTGGTGATGCTGTGCCTGATGCCCCCCAGGACAGGGTTGGCCCTCCTGGCTGCCAGGGCACTGCTGACTCAAGTTCAACTGGCCAGTGACCAGGATACACAGGTGCCCTTCTGCAGTGCTGCTCTCCACTGAGTTATCTTTAAGGCACAACAAATTGGTAGTTACCTACCATTATTAATTAGATTAAATGTATATTGAAAATGCTGTTCTGAAGATGTATACTTCAGATTTCCATTCTATAATGTCGCTTGATTGCAGTGTTTAAAAATCATTAAATTGAGATTTGTTATATGGGATATAAGACTCGATTCCCTGTTGTATTTTACAGGTATTCTATTAGCTGTACAATTAGTGGTCATTTGTGTGGAAGGGGCACTGGACCTTCCCTAGGTGCTGCAAAACAAGCTGCTGCAAAGGAAGCATATGAGAAGGTATATAAGGAAAGCTCTGTGACAGTATGTGCTAGATTTATCCTTATCACAGAAGTTTAAATCTTTGAACCAATTTCTTTATTGTATTTAAAAGCATATTCCATGGATTCCATTGAAAAAGGAAACAATCCATATTTTAGTATGTTGGTTGGGCTACTGTTAGTAGAATTTATGTTGTGCTTCTGTATTCTGGATTAAAAAAACCAAACTGCTAACAATTGATATCTCTCTGTGTTTCAGAATAGGTCTGATATGCTGTCATTCAAGGATGCACACATTTTAAAAATTTTAAAATTCCAACTCGTATACCAATTGTCTTCTGTGAGAAGTGTTGTTGAGCTGGCAGACTATGAACATATTTCTTTTACTGTCTTCTGTGGGATCAAAAATCTATTGTGTAATGTGAGAGGCAAAAGCAGGAGTCAGAATCAACAGGACTTGCCTTCTGTAGTGTTCCAAGGCAGAGTCCTTTGAAACAATTGCTGACACCATTCTCTGGAGAGCAGAGCTGTTGTCTTCATGTTGGCAGCTGTTATTTCCACATGTGCAAAAAACTATCAGTATTCCAACAGTGATCCAAACCCACTTCTGAAATGTACAGAACATATGAACTAACTAAATGGAGGGTAGTTTAAAGAGAAGAATGGCAGTATAGGGGAGGAAAGAAGCCTTTTCACTTTTAAGTACTTTTAAAATTATTTGGCTGTTACTGTGAATTTTCAATGCTTTTAGAGTTGTTTTTAAGTCAACCATGTAATTAATTAACATCCTATTATAGATCTAGGAGCCTTTCTTAAGATCTTCCTTGGTTGCAAACCCATGGATCTTTTTATTTTCATTGATGCCTGAAATTTATTACCTCAAACAGAACTTGTATACCATATAGTCTAAATTTAGATTGGGTTGTTTTGGTTTGGTTTTAATTTTTATTAATTCTCAGTGATGTCTGCGTAACAAACAAAATGTAATCTGGCAAAAAGTAGTAAAGGTCCAGTATTTAAAAAAGGGGTTTGTTTGTTCTCATTTAAACATAAACCCTATGTTTTTGTGTCCATGATACTGTGATGGAATACTAGGAAACATAAAAAAACCCCCAAAAAACATAGTTTTGTTTACTTTTTGTAAGGTGATGATCTATATCCATTGTAGTTGTTGCTTTTAATGTTACTTTAATGATCTTATAGGTAGTGGGAGGAAGGGGAAGAACCTCTACTAAGTATTTGGGATAAGTTTTTTTTTTAATTCAACCCTAATTTAGCTGTGAGTTTTGCAGTGTTTTCATGCTGAGGACATTGAATGTCAATTTGTACTGACTCAGATTTTCAATTCTGCTGATTACATATGTCAAAGCCTACATATATCTCATTTTCCACACAGCAGTTGCACATGCAACAAACAACAAAGATATTTGCTTTTCATTACTCTTAGTCTTATCCTGGTTTTGAATAGAATCCAGACTCTACTTTTGTAAATGTGTCTGTATAGTATGCTCACTGTGACAGGGCCCTGTGCTTTTCCTTTCCCTGAGTGGAAATTGGGCAGGTGCCTTTCTTCTGCAGAAGAGGGCTTTTGAATGTTTAGTGCAGTCACCAACTTGCTCTTAGGACCCTGTAATCTTCCCTCTGCCCTATCTGGATGGCATCTTTTGCTCTAGAGATTTGTTCATGTGATTTTGTTAAACATTCTTGGCTTTTCTTTTTTCCAGATGGAAACCGAAAGATCTTATAACAGCAATTCCTCTCAAGTGCCATCTGAGTCTGACTCAGAGTAAGTTGGGTTCACTGCTAATGTGATAACAATATATTTAGTAATCTTAGAGGGTAATGTGCTCTAATTCTAAATAAAGTATATAATTTTCTTGTTTTATTGCAGTATAAAGCAATCTAATATAATTTTATTGTTTTATTGCAGTATAAAGCAATCTAATTTTAACTTCTGTTCCCTAAACTTCAGAGCAAAGTTTGTTCTACTTGTGCAGTTTTATGTGAGTCTGTATGGGATAGCTTATAATAAGTTTAGAGCTTTCTGATTTGTTCACATTTTTACATAGGTGGTTCTTTCAGAAGCATTTTTTCTGTGATATAAATGGATTGCCCTATGTCATTCAATAGCACTATTTCATGCCATTTTAACACTCACTTTCCTATTGAGACTGTCTTGTGAACTCAGTGTAATTCAATTTCAGTACTCTCCTGTGCTCCATATTCTGCTTTCTTCTCTCTCATTTTTCTTTCCCCCCCCTTTTTTCACTCTACATGAATCTTCATTTCCACCAAAGGGAAAAATTTGCTTGGCAAAAGAAACTGAACATACATTAAGTTTGAGATGTGATTTAAAAACCAGCAGTTTACCTGTAGTGCCACTACCACTTTTACATTCTTTTATCTTCTAGATATCATAGACTCATTTTATAATAGAAATAAAGTGTTGTTATTTTAATAGTTTTCAAGCAGGACGTTTTGTAGTTTAAGTCAGTCATGATTGTTAATGCTTTTTCAGGTTTTGCTTTAAAAACTGTGATTTTTTGGTACTTCTTTTCTTGTGATAATAATTTTATTTATTATTGTGTTATTTTCACCTAAAAATAGTCCATTATTTTTCAGTAAAAACACCGTTTGCTTTGCTAACTCATCTTCAAAGTTGGTAGAAAAAATGAAAGACATGGCAATATGTGAAAAGCCTTCACCTTCTCAGGTACAGTATGAAAATGGTCTTCCTCATAATTACATTTTAGACCCTGAGTAGGGCATGCTTCTTGTCAGAGTGTAACATCAGTTTGTTCTTTTATCCACTAATCATTGAAAAATACATGCATTTTTCCTAAGAATGTTCAGTAGTGTTAACCATTAGTCATTTCCTTCTGTATTGTGGAATATAGTGTTATGTAGTGTTTAACAAATGCCAGTAGTCCCAAGAAAAGGGTCAAACTGAGCTCATTTTTTGCAATGCTAATGTTATGCATAGCTTATGTGAAAAACACTGAGCTAAGATTCATTCTTATGACATTGTTCACATAAGGTATGATCACGTTTATAGGCAATTCCTAGATAAATTATCAGACATGTTTTAAGCAGACTGCAGTGAAAATATTCAGGATACCTCAGTTAAGCTTTTTTTTCTGTTTTCCATGTAGAGAAATGCACAAAGGTCTGTCCCAGAGACCAAAAGGTATGTTTACTTCTAGATTGCTATCTCCTCTAAACAAGATATACCTTAAATAACTTGATTTTTTTCTATCTCTAGTAAAGAAATGCTGCTATTGGGAGGTATATTTCTTTTTTCATCATGTGTTAGAAAAATGGCTCATTATAAATTTTGCTTTTATCCCTGTTAAAGAAAATTGGCAGCTAATTTTGCTAATGTAAGAAACAAGGAAGAGAAAAAAAATACGTCAGATTCCAAGGAAGGTTTGCCAGATGTGGACACAAATACTGGAAAAGAGAATGGGAGTCCACACACTGTCAATAAAACGTAAGAAGGATTTTTTTTTTAAATTAATATTTGTAAGACAATAACTGTATGTATGACTCTAGATTTGCTTCTTTATTTGTGGTAGAAGGAGGGAAAATACTGCTGTGAAAAGAACTTTCAAAGAAAATTGGTACTAGATTTTTTCCTGGAAATTTCAAATCTAGCATAGGAATTGACAAGCAATGGTATTTAAAGGTCACAACCAAATGTCATTCATGTGAAGATGTGAGGGTAGTTACCTGACAGGCCTTGAAGGGTCAGTTTCCCTTGTTGTTTTAATCCCCAAGGCTGTGATTTACACCTGTAGATTGGTCAAATGATGACCGTAGAATGATATTGCAGTAGATGTATTAAATCTGTCAAAATAATTTTTATATTCTTAACTGAGAATTAAGTATAATTAAGTGGGGTTTTCCTTTTTTTGTTTTTAAAGATTTCTCGAACAGTATGAAAAAATAATGCCTATTGGTGCAGGTGGTTTTGGGAATGTTTTCAAGGCAACATCGAAGTGTGATAAGAAAACCTATGCAATCAAACGAGTTGAATTCACAGAGTATGTACTGAATGTTTGCTTCTGTCATTTAGGACAACTTTAATCAAGACTTTAATACTTTATTTTCTCTTTTCAACAATACTAGGAGCATTTAGGTGATTTTTATAATAAATTATCTGTCCTTTCTAGTGAACTGTTTTCTTTATTTCCAAGTGAAGCTGAAAGTGGTCCTGAACCTTTGTTAATTTTTGCATGTAATGGGTTAATTTTTGCTGGAGCTGTAAAAATGTAGGTATGTTAAGTTCTCTTTTCCCTGAACACAGTAGTGCTCTGGTTGCTAATATTGCAAAATGTGTTTGAAGAAAACCTGATGATTATTAAAAACATTGAAAGCAGCCCTGTTACTTTTGACAGACTGCATGGAAAATTTCCATATCAGTAATGCAAAATAACTATAATTATGGAAAATAGAAAAAAAATCCAAGTAATAAATTTTGTAATGGGAAAATGCTTTATATCTGACCCATGTAGTCATTACTCTCGTGCTGTGTTGCTTATCTTTTATAAATCTCAACAGAGAAAGATCTTAATTTTTTTTAGAAGTAATTTTCTGTTACCTAGTGTAGTATTTTATCAGCAGTTGAAAACATTAATTTCTTTTAGGTTATCTATTGAAAAAGTTTTAAATTGTTGGAGATACTTGTCCCTTAAATTGTCTAATTGTACATTTCCTTTTGGATTCTTGTGTTGTTTGCAAATACATGTTATTTTCATTGGTATTGCTACCCTGAGAACTATACTGAGAACCTTCTACTGATTCTTCAAGTAATGACTGATACTTTGCTGGCAGGTTTGCAGCTACTTGCTTTTTCAGCTTTTTTTTGAGTGGGGATTTAATTACTAATGGGGTTAAACCACTTTTTGCACTTTGAATAACTGAGCAGATGAAAGACAACCCATCAAATTTGTAACTTCAGTTTTGACCTTTGAACTAATATGAAGGAGAATAATATGCTTTGTTTCTAAATTAATGTAAAACTATCTGTATCCTAGCACTTGATAGCCTATCTTTTATTTAGCTTTGTATTACATTGTAATAGGGAAATGCCTTGTTTTTAAAATTCTTTCCCCCCTCCTGATAGGAAAGTAGAGCGTGAAGCACAAGGACTGGCAAGACTTTCCCATGAGAACATAGTGCGCTATCATAGCAGCTGGAAAGGGTACGACCGTATCAAGTACCCAAACTCAAGGTAACTACAAAATAACAGTTTGCATTCACAAAGTTTTTTCACATCTGTAGTGAACTTCATGCTATTCATAATTGGTTATCAATTATTTTACAAATATAAATGCACACACATGCAATCATACTGCTAGGAAAAAAGGCACAGTACTTCCAGCAGCAGGTTGTATGTCATTAAGTATATTTACATCTTCTTTTCCTTGATTAATAAGGTATATTATATAATTTTATATGTCACTCCTCTCTCAATATATGGAACATAATGAATTTACAGAGGAGAGTAAGAATGCAGAACTCAGAATCTGGGGCAAGAATTAACAACAGAAAAAATTGTTTGTCACTTGGCTACCAAATTCCTGATCAGAGTTTCCTTTTTATAAGTACTGGTCAGCCAGTAGCTACCATAGATTTAATTATTTCCCTAAGTTAGTATTTTAACCATGATGCTTGAAACCATTTTGATTGTTTAGAAAAGGAATACAAAATGAAATGCTCCTTACTTTAGAGGTAGCCTTTTTACACTGAGACTTCTGGTAAACCAGTGGTGAGAGTTGTACTAGTAAGTTAAACTAATAACTTTTCCAAGCTTTTGTGGTAAGCCTTTTTTACTAGCTGTGAAGTCATACTCTTCACATAGGCTGCCATACTTCCTTAGAGCCATAAAATATTAATGGATTCAAAATTATCGTTGGTGTGATACCTCTCCATTATTGTGCTCATTAAGTGAGCAGTAAAATGGGGGGAAAAAAGTATGTCAAAACAGAACCATTAATATGTTGGAGCCTCAATATCATGTATATATTTTACATGTATATATTTTACATTTACATTTTACATTATTGGGTAAAAAAGTCCCCAAAGCCAAGAACCCAGACTGGAATTTGTGCCCTGACCTCAAGCCTACAGAGTCCTGAGCCATTTAATGCCTGTTCTTTCAGTGCTTCGAGCAGCTTTATCCAAGGGCACTCATCACACAGCGTACATAGGGAAAACCAGTGCATGCTTCTCTTTGTATTTTCCTTCCCCTCACCATCTCCAGCCTCAGCTTATCTTATCTCTGGAATGTGTGAGGCTGCCAGATGGGTGAATATATTTAATCTAGATTTCCAGTCCTCAGAAGGTTTCCTGTGACTAGCAGACCAATGTCACTGCATTACCTTCTTGACAGGACAGAGTTGGAAAGAACATGACCATTCTGGGCAGGATAGGAAGGCTGATCTCTTGAGCAGAAACGTGTCAGGGTCTTCCACCAGTTCCTACAAGGCCAGATGGAGCCAAGGACAGTGGTATTTCTTCCTGGATAGGACATACTTCTAGGTATGAGGGAAATGGAACTTGGGCTTTCAGAAAACTACCAGTGTGAAACTAGAGAGCAAGAAAAACTTCAAAAATATTCCAGGAATATGTGGCGACTGAGCAGAGATTCTTTGGGTTGCAGTCCTTTTTATTTAATGCAAATTGCTGTAGGATCTTTCCTAAAATTAAGGGACTTGCAGACTTTGTTTTGGGTAACTCCAAAAAGTAATTATTAACAAAAAGGGCTTTTGAAGATGACTTGGGAGGAATTGTATCTTGTCAATTTCAATATGGTATGTAATTTTCTTTTGAAGCTGGAATTCATACCAAGAAATTCTCTGTCTTTTCATCCAAATGGAATTCTGTGAACAAGGGACATTGGAAGAGTGGATTGTAAAAACTTCCAAAGACCGAAAGTATCATGAAATGGCACAAAACAAATTTTTACAAATAGTGAAAGGAGTGGAATGTATTCATTCTGAAAAGTTAATTCATCGGGACCTCAAGGTATGTAGGATAGGTAAATAAAGAAAAAAAAAATCAAAAAGAAAAAGTTAAAGGTAGTGTACTTACTGAAATTGCAGAGAATGTTAAATTGTTTATAGTCTTTGCTTACTCTGTTATGTACCCTAGTGTGCTTCTTTGGATATTGCTAGTGATTGATTCTCTTTCAGCAGCTGGCTGAACCTCATCCCAAAATCAGATGAACTTGGAAGATCTCAGAGTTCAAAGAATCAGTAGTCATCAGCTAACAGGCATTTTCAGTGTGTTACTGGGTCACAAGTCTGCCTATTGGAAAAAGAAAAGTTGAGTCTAGAAAGTGGCTCTTGCCATATTGTAAAGGAGTAGTTTATCTATCCTAATACATGCTGTGTTTGATAACAACATCCTCTAGTTACTTTTGTCTTGTGTATGCATACAAATGTTTGAATACGACAGTTTTGGATAGACTTTCAGTCTCTAGATGTGCACAGTCATAAGATGATTTTATTTCAATATAAAGATTCTAAGGGACAAAGCCTTAATGGCTTCAGGATGGAAGCTATAATGTTGCTTACAGAGTTTTAAATCACTCATTTAGTGAAAAAAATCTGGTGGCATTCCTAGGGTTAAGTTAACTTCCCTGCCTGACCACTCAGGAGCCACTCTGGCAGTCAAATTCTCGCCACCAGAGACCTTCATAGCTGGGACTGAAGTCCCTTCATAGCAGGCAGCTCCAGTGTACCCACAAGTGCCTCACTTGATCCCCTACACACCCCCGGCCATATTTGATGCTCAACATGGGGTTCAAACCCTTGACCCTGAGATTAGGAGTCTCATGCTCTACAAGCTGAGGTAGGGATGAGCCTGTGGTCGATCAGGAGTGGTATTCTCCCATTTAATGCTCCTACTGAATCCACATGCTGCTTGCTCACTTCCCCTTCTCCTGTGGCAGGCTGGAGAGGAGAAGTGGAAGCACAAAAGGTAAAGAGCACCAGTTGAGATAAGAACAATTTACTAGAAACAGCAATGAGATAAGAAAACAAACACAGACAAAAACAGTAACAACATTAAAACTAGAAGTCTAAAAACAGAGGATGATTCACATGCAAAACTTCACTGTGGAACCCTGCCTGACCATGCCATGCTCCCATGATCCGAAAGCAAATCCTACCCCCATTCCCAGAAAATGACATGAGGTGGTATAGAATAACCTCCTTGTCCTAGCCATGTGTTCCCCACTGATTACTGTCCAAATTAGCCCTCTCCTGAACAGAACCAAGTTATACTGCTAATTCTTCTACCTGTAATTCTTCTACCTGTACCTTTGAATTGAAGAGCTTTCCTCTCCTCTTTCATCTGCTGTCAGCTTAGGTGCTTGGCCATCTGAGATCTCCATAGCCCAGAATCAAAGTTGCAGGATAGGTTCAAGCTGAGATTAAAGTAATTTGTACCTGGTAGGAACAAAGTCATTAAATAGTGTAGCTAGCTATAGGTACTATATTAAATATGGGTGGTCATGGTCAGACTTGAACAGATCAACTACACAGAGCATTCTTTACATGAAGATCTCTTCCTGTTGGCTATTAAGTATCTCCTGGCCTTATGGTCCACTGGAGCTTCTTTGAGTAAAAGACAGCATGAGGCTATTTGGTTTTGTTTTAAAAACATTCAGAAGTGTAGTTTCTTTATCATCTTTGGGAAACTTCATTGAAGCACATATAGTTCTTTTTAGTTGTTTGACTTCATGTTCTGGTTTTGGCTAGGAGACAATTTCTTTTCAGTAGGTGGTACAGTCAGTGCTGTGTTTTGGGTTCAGTATTATGGTAATGCTGATAACACACTGATGTTTTGGTTGCTACTAGGTAGTGTTTATTTTAAGTCAAAATACTATTTTTTTACATGGAAGAGGGGCTGATCTGGGCTCAGGAAGGGGATCTGGCATCAGTCAGTGGGTGGTGAGCAATTGTACTGTGCATAACTTGTTTCTCCTTGTTTTGGTTTTTTTAAATCCTTTTATTATCATTATTATTTAACATTATTATTAAATTTTTCTTTTGCTTCAATTACTAAACTGTTTTTAACACAGCTTACAAGTTTACTTTTGGTTCTCCCTCTCATTACAATGCGTGGTGCTTAGTTGCCAACTGGCCTTAAGCCATGACACTGTCAAATTTAAAAAGGGGAAGTTTAATGTGAACATGATACTCTGAGATACCTGTAGTAAGCCTTAACTCTGCATTTCATTTAGTACATGTGATCCTTCTGTGCCTAGGAGAAACTCTGACTTGAGTGGAATTCCATGTAAGACTAAATGCTTTGCCTAAGTGTAAGTTAGTCTAGGATGTTCTGTCAAGGATGAAGTTATGTCTAGGATGGAAGAGTGAAAAGCACTTTGGGATAAAGAATGTTATATGCACAGTGTACTTGAAGAGCAGTTAAAGCATGACACGGCTATGCCTGAGCTAGTGGAAGAAAAGATGCAGTTACTGCAGAATGTACTACTTGAAATTTAGCTTGTGTTTTTAAAAATTGATTTAACTTTTTCCTCTTTCCACACCATCAGTTTCTTAATGCTACTTTCTGAACAATCATCAGATTTTATGGGAAACACTTCTGTGGCTGATTATGCTTGGTGTGGTGATAAACCTTGGTCATTTGGTGATTGTTTTTTCTTCTTTTTATTTATATATATGAAAATAGCCTCAGAACATATTCATATCACATGATCAAATAAAAATAGGTGACTTCGGTCTTGTGACTTCTGTGGCATTTGAGACTCTGACTGAGAACAGAGGAACAAGATCGTATATGGCACCAGAACAGGTAATTATCCTGCTGTATTAGTGTCTCTGTAATTAGATGTGCATTATAAACTCAGCATTGGATGTTCTCAATCCTAATCTCAGTAATAAAGCAAGTTGCCTAAAGTTCCCTGGTATGACTGTATGAGAGAATAACTGTACTCTGGAGAACGCTTTACCACAAGTGTGGTAAAGATTTTTGCTCTGTGTGAACATACAGTCTGACTCTGCATGCTGTAAGGAATCCTCTTGTAAAACCAGGCTGCCAGACATATATTTAAATTTGAATTTAGGGCCCCTCTTAATTGCATCGTTTGAGCTTCTCTGTTTGTTTCATTATTTGTCACAGGGCAATACTGGCATGCTTTATCTATATAGGTCTGTAGAAGCCTTAATTTCAGGGTGTTCAGTGTGACATAATAGTCACTATTTAACAGGTCTGAGGCAGAAAGGGTTAACAGCTAAGAAGGATATTGAGTCGGGCCAGTCCTGTAGCCTTGGGGTAGAAATTTCTGCTGACTTCAAATTTTGCTTTTAGGGAGTGCTGTTCTCCAGTTGGATTTAATACTTGTGTTGTTCTCTTCTAATCTTTCTAGACTGGGGCCAAATATGGAAAGGAAGTAGATATTTATGCATTGGGATTAATTTGGTTTGAAATTCTTTCAGCGATCACTGCTCATGAAAAAAGTAAGGTATGTAATCTTTAAATTTAAAAACTCCTACTGCTGTGGTTTTGCCTTGTTTCTGGTATTACTTATTGATAGCTAGATATCACTTACTGATATCTGGTATTGATAGCTGGTTTCACTTATTGATAGTTCTAGAAGGAATCTCTTAAACTTGAGTACTATCTCTATGTACATCTTTTTCCTTAATTCATTTCCATAAAGCCTGTAAGTCCTCATACCTCAGTTGAAATGTCATAACTGAGGGAAATACTACAGTTTATTCCACTTCTGTCCTACTACATATACACCAAAGCCTGAGCATACTAGAGGATAATGTCATACAAAAAGTATGTCAAGTTTCTTGGATTAGAAGCTTAAAGGGTATGTTTTTCTAATTTTAGAAAATAAAAATTATGGATGGGTGAGTTTTGTCTCTGCCATGCTCTTGTCTTCACTGCACAGTGGAGCAAGAAGAGTTTCTACCAAGTCAAAACCCTTGCAGTTTCCCAAGATGAAAACAAAAGTGATTTGGAACATGTTACTTTAAGTGAAACAGATATTATTTCAAAAAGAAAGCCCATGTTACTTAAGCTTTTTTTAAAAAGGTATCCTGTATATGTGTTGAGCTTTTAATATGCAAACCTGCATATTGGTAGGACATTGATGTAGCTGCTGGGTGTCTAAAGTAATTGTGGTTGGACTCAGATTTTGAACAGCCAGATCCTTTTGCCAGTATGAGAAGATCATACCAGTGTGTCTGTTCAACTTGGCTCTCTCCAGCCACCTTGCAGTACTTCCTCAGATCTTCTGTTCCTGCTCACAGTTGACTGCAAATGCATGCACAGTTCCATGGTGTTTACAGTTGGAGAAGCACCATTTCCTTGTGCTCTGCAGGCAGGTGGGAAAGTTATGTGCATGGAAAATCCTAGGATGGTCTTCAGCTGCTCCATTAGATCAGAAAGAGTTTCACTTAATGGAACATGATAAACTCTAGTGCTGGCAAGCCATAAACTCTAGTGCTGTAAGAACATCATGTAAAAGCAAAGTTGATTATTCTGTGCTGAGTAACTGATTCAGTTGTTGATCCCCAGCAGGTAGGGTCACAGGCCTGAAGCTACTGCTAAAGAGTAGGGAAAAAACTCCAAGTTCATGGGAGCTGTTTTACTGGATAGCAGTTGTAAAGGGCTTGCTATGCCAGGCTCATGGGGATAGCTGATGATTCAGGATACACAGCTAAGTCTAAGAACATGACTGTCATCTTCAGGCAGACATTACACTAGTTAACAGCAAATGAATTAAGCAGACTGCCCTCTTTACCCAGAAAGCCACTTGTAGAATCACAGAATGGGTGAAATTGGAAGGGGCCACTGGAGGTCATCTAGTACAGCCTACCTCTTCAAGCAGGGTTCCCTAGAGCACATTACTTGGGCTTGTGTCTAGTGTATCTCCAGTCAGGAGACTCCACAACTTTTCTGGACAGTCTGTTCCAGTGCTCAATAACCTGCCCAGTAAAGAAGCTCTTCCTCATGTTCAGGTGGAACTTCCTGTGCATCAGTTTCTGCCCATTGCCTCCTGTCCTATTGCTTGGCACCACGGAGCAGAGCCTGGCTCCATCCCCCTGGCACCTCCCTTCAGATGCTCACAGACATTGATGAGGTCCCCTCTCAGGGCCTCTTCTCCAGGCTGAACAGGCGCAGCTCCCTCAGCCTTTCCTCATTAGAGACATGCTCCAGAGCCTCAATCATCTTTGTTACCCTGCACTGGAGCCACTCCAGGGGCTCCATGTCTCTCTTGTCCTGAGGAGCCAGGACTGGACTCAGCACTGCAGATGTGCCTCAGCAGGGCTGGGCAGAGGGGCAGGATCAGCTCCCTTGACCTGCTGGCACTGCTCTTCCTAATGCACCCCAGGATTCCATTGGCCTTCTTGGCCACAAGGGCTCACTGCTGGCTCATGGATGGCTTGTTGTCCACCAGGACTCCCAGGTCCTTGTCCACAGAGCTGCTTTCCAGCAGGTCAGCCACCAGCCAGGGTTACTGCCCAGGGTTATTTCTCCCCAGGTGCAAGAACCCTGCATTTCCTTTTGTGGAATATCACAAGGTTCCTCCCAGCCCATCTCTCCAGCCTGTTGAAGTCCTTCCCAAGGCCTGCACAGCCCTCTGGGGCATTGGCCACTCCTCCCAGCTTTGTGTCATCAGTGAACCTGCTGAGAAGGCTCTGCCCTTCATCCAAGTCACTGATGAACAAGTTAAACAATACTGGGCTCAGTATTGAAGCTAGGAGGACACCACTGGTGACAGGCCTCCTACTAGACCCTGTCCTGCTGTTCAGCCAGTTCTGTCCACCTCACCATCCATTTGTCCAGCCTGCTCTTCCTGAGCTTGCCTATCAGGATGTTGTGAGAGACACTGTCATATAGAAAAAAAAATTGTTAACTAAAAGCCATTTCTAAAGCACGTAATGACAAATCTTTTGTTAGTTGCTTTGAAGTCCATGTAGCATTTTATGCAATGACATACCAGTGTGGTACTGGATATGATAAAAAGGAGGAAGCACACCTGCTTGGCTTGGAAACAGAAATTCAGTTGTCTTGCTTTTTTCTTTTCTTTCAATGTCATTAGACAATATAAATCCATTACTTTTAAATTAAGGAAAGAAAGATAATGGTTCTGAAATAGAGGAAGATTGAAACAAACACGTCATTGTTGTATGTGAAGCTTTTAAGCTTAGAAATGGATAATAGTTGATGAAAAGGCCATAAAACCAAACCAAAGCACAACTAAATGAAAAAAGCCCCAACTTTTTAGTTACCTTTTGAAGCCTTACATTTCCTGTAGATTTGTGTTTTCCTAACTACTTCAGTAAACTATATGGGTTATAAGGTGGAGATACAAAACATAACAAATGAAAGCATACCAAAACTATTCTCTTTTATGCATTTCAGATATGGCCCTCTGCTAGAAAAGGTGAACTTCCAGAGTACTTCAACAACAGATTTCCAACAGAGGTATGGGATTTTAATACATTTTTGGTACTGTATAAAAAAACCCCAAAAAACCCCAAAAAAGTAAAAAACAAAAAAACAAACTATTGACATTTAATTTTTTTTTCAGGCATCCATAATCAAAAAGATGCTTTCAACAGACCCTTCAGGAAGAATCACTATATCTTATTTACTTGACCTTCTTAAGTCTGCTGATAAAGAGAAGGCACTTAGAAATTATTCTTATTGAATGTCCTTTCACACTGTGTTAAATCCAGAATTTGATGAATTTATTACAACTGATGAAATGACAACAGATGTCAAAAGCAACAGCAAGACTTGGGGTGTGTCTTTTCCTTGGCCACTTCACCATTTATATCTGCCAGCTGCAACCAGGACAGGGCAAGTCTGCAAGAAATCAAGAAATCACACGCAGTTTTTACCTGGAAACATAGGTTGTGGATGAGCTGGACTGTTTTGTACAATAAGTACCTGCTCCTTTTCCCCTCCAAGATCATGTTGATGTGCTAAAGTGCTAACTGGGTTGTGCCAAATCCCTGCATGTGCTGCACCCATTAGCCCTTAAGGTTATCTATTGCTTTCCATGGAAGAACTGCTGTCTGGTGGTATGTGACTCAAACCTTTCTGATTTGTTCAGTGATATTGTTAATAATTACTGGACTGCTCCATTAGTCCCAAGACTAGTTTTGGCAGAAAAGGAAATAGGTGCACCTTATTCTTCACTGAATTTCAGTACTCTAAGTTTTCTTATCTCTCCACAGCTGCTGATGACCTAGCACCTTCAGTGCTCTAGAATTTAAACTTGTAAAATGAGGATTTCTTTAAATGTTAAACATTCAGCTTCTAGGAAATCTAATTTAGAACAAATCTCAATTTTGGAAAACTTTAGGTTTTTATGGTTGTCTTTTTTGGAAAGGAACATTCAAGGTGCTATTAATATAAGAAAATTCTCCTCATTATAGGAAAATTGCCTCAGTAGTAACCATTTGAAATCTTAGGCTGAAAGAGCACTTTAAACATTCCCATGCTTCTAGGTTTTAGTCCCTTATTGTAATACTGAGGCATGCCTAATCCTGAATAACTGTACTTAGTACCTCTGGTGTGCTCACTGCCCCACAAAAGGGAACAGTAGGTTCTCTGCTACTCTTCATTTGTGAAAAGACAGGTGCTTGTCTTTGAGCTCTATCTTGTCAAACTGTTCATTGATGTGAGGTCAACGTAACTCCGTAAAGGCAAATGAGCAGAGATTTCTAAACAAAAAATAGGTAATATGTGAAATACTGTATGCTTTTTCTGATATGTTAAATGGGTTAAAAGTGGGTGACTGCTCTAAAAGAAATAGTACAGTATTTATATTCTTAGGGAAATTACTGATGTTCTGGTGCAAGTATTTGTTGCTAAATAAGAATGTGATTGTATACTTTTTAAGGCCTTACACTGTTTTCTTTTTTTCTCTTTATCATGAATGACATATATAGAATCATAGAATGGTTTGGGTTGGAAGGGACCTTAAAGATCATCAAGTTTGAACCATCCCTGCCCTGGGCAGGGACACTTTCCAGTAGATGACATTACTCAAGGCCTTGTTTGAACAGTGCCAGCAATGGGGTATCCACAGCTTCTCTAGGAAACCTGTTCCAGTGCTTCATCATCTTCATAGTAAAGAATTTCTTCCCAATATCTTATCTCAACCTTTCACTTCGAAGCCATTCCTCCTTGTCCTGTCACTACATGCCCTTGGAAAAAGTCCCCTTCCAGCTCTTTTCAGCCCCCTTTAGGTACTGAAAGGCTGCTCTAAGGTCTCTGCAGAGCCTTCTCTTTTCCAGGCTGAACAACTCCAACTCAAGCAACTTCATTTGCCAGTTCCCTCAGGACCAGTGGATGCATGTCAGCAGGTCCCATGGACTTGTGCACCTCTAGGTTCTTCAGATTTTCTTGAATCTAATCTTCCCCTTGACATCCCTGGCCAGATTGAATTCCATCAGGGCTTTATGCTTCCTAACCTTATCCTTGACTGGAATTCATAAAGTATTTCACTATGCTAAACTAATGAGTATTTCTTTGCAGTGGTCAAGATCTGTGAGAAATTATATATCCTTACAGACAGAACACTACTATTGCTGATTTCTCTTCACTTTAATCTATTGGTTATATAAAAATAAACATATAAAATATGTTTAGTCTATAAAAATAAATTTGACCTATATAAATATCTAATTGTTTTATCTACTTAAAGTTAACACATACTTGGATTTGATGATCTTAAAGGTCTGTTCCAACCTAAACAATTCTATGAAACTATTCATAATATGAAAATGGACAATCTCTTGGCTGCATTTCCTTTACAGTTTTTGGACAGAGCAAAGTAGTATCATTACTTTCTTGCTGTTAAGTAATACTGTACCAGTTTGTAACAGTAGTTTGCACCAGGAATTTTTGATATATTTTCCCTGCATAGTATTTGTACATTTCAGCATTAACTTTTTAAAAATGGCTAGTTATAGTAGCAACTGCTGTTACCTAAAAATAAAAGATCTATTAAAATGTATTTTATGTAAAAAAAATGAAAACCCACCATCATGATCTAATTCTATTTAATTATGGAAAATATTCATCTTTATATACAACAGAATATTGGTTCAAGTAATGTCACTGTCATGTTTCACAAGTGGTTTTTTTTTCCCCACCAAGTTTAAGATAGTAAGCAAAACCAGTCTGGTATTTAGGCATCTCTGTAAAGATGAAAAAACCTGGTTTAACACATTATGCAATAAAGTGATTGGCCAATAATTATGCCTTTACTCATACTTAAATTTTATTACCAGCTGGGCAGCGCATAAACAAAGATGTGAGAGACTGAACCTACCTCTCAATTATGTTAGTTCAATTACAAATACCAACTCTTAATTCCTATTAAATTGTGCATCAAACAGAAAATATGAATTTAGCTTGAATTTAGCTTGTCAACTTAAACTCTTCTTCTGCATACTTTGGTATGAATTCTTGAGTATGTCATAGCTTCAAGCCTTTTAAAAGATACTATGAATTATACATACTTATCTAGGGCTTCTTCCTTTAGACTGGCTTTAGTCATGATCTGCAGCACTGTCTCCGGGACAGTTTGAAGATAAATCTTCAGAGTCTACAGGATAAGCAGGAAAAAAGTGAGTAGTTGCAGCTCAGGGAAGGAAAAAATGGTTGCCAGAATTATTTCTAGAATCCATGTAGAACAAATTAAATAAAATTCAAGGTTTACAAGTTAGTAACTCTCAAATTTGTTTAAAAAAAATTTAAAAACAAAGATAAATTCTACTCTCTTTGGTATTGTGAAAGTGGATGGTGTTCTGATTGTTTCAGAAACACCTGCCAACTTTTGGAGCTTTTCATGGTATTGGTTTTAATATCTGAATTCTGTTTTCTCAAAACTAATTAAATTTTAATATCAATTCAAATAAATTTCAGTATGGTTTGCTGTGTTTTGTTGTGTGTGGGGATTTTTTTGTTTGCTTTTGGTTTTTCTGCATATAAACCTAGAACTTGGCTAACAATCACAATAACAGTATGTACAAAGCTTTGTGCAAAAACCAGCAGCCTGGAAGGTAAATTTGCTATGTAGATTTGGAAGCTGCAGTAAGAGAAAAACCAAGGATATATTCTACAGCTGGAGTCTAGCTGCATAAGCAAAGTAAAGCACCTACAAAAGCTTGGGTCACTCTCACCTTCATAGGTTGTTCCACACCAAATGCAATAGAAGTGCTCCTCTCTCAAATAGGCCGTCAGGATGTGCAGCTTTTCTGATACCTAGAGATATGTACAGGTATGTGATGAGCTGGGCCCCACATGACATAAACCACTGTGAGCTGCTGGTTTGCTAAAACAAAGTGTTTAACCTAATGCTGTACACATTACAACACTGGAGCTCAGTAAGACATGAAGTGTCCCACCTTTGTAGAAGAGTGCACAGGAATTCCTGATCTCTGGAGAGTTAATGGCTGTTGTTTGCTTATCCTTCTTTCCAGCTAAAAACCTGCACTGATGAGAGAGCTAAAAATATTACTTGGCTACCTGATTTCATGTATATGGTATCTTCTGGGGATTTTTTCACATCTGATCTCTGCCAATCAAACACATAAGGCTAACAACAGCTGTGTAACCTAGTTCTTAAAAATATGTATTTCCAATGTCCATCTTGAGATAATCTGTGAAGCATTTTCAGAAATTAATGACTCTAAACTTCCAACCAAAATTAAAACTCAAAAGCAAATATCTGTGATCTTGTGTATCTTGGCTAAGGCAAAAAAATGTTAAAATTTAATTTCTAGGCTAATTTTTTCAAAGATCAGCCTCAAAACACATGAGCAATATATCAGTAGTTTAATATTTTATAATTTATCATGTAACTGCTATAAAAGTCAGTGCTCTGGGATTGCAAAGAGACCCTTTCCTACAGTGTGGGAAACATGTATGTATAGATACACACTGTTTCAAGGAATATTAAATTTAAGTTTGAATTGAGCAATTCAGTTGAACACCTTAAACTTACACTTAAGTCTGAGCTTGTGCATTCATCTTCCTTGTCCTCCTCATCCTTTTTGTCTTCTTCTTCAGGTTCTATCCAAAACCAAGTCTCCTTGGGAACATCAATATCCTTAAATAACAAGGGATTTAAATGGAAATTATCTGTCTTTGTAAGTTTTCTTGTAAAATGCTGGATAAAACTAATTTCTAGGAAGTGAGCTGTTAGCCTTTAAAACTTGCATGTATAGTATAACCAAGAATTACTAAAGCTGTAGGTAAAAGTACAGCAGTCCACAAGACTGTTTTAAACTTTTTCACTACTTTTTTTTTTTTTAACAATGCCAATGCTACCATCTAGTTCTATTTCATCTATGTTTGGTATGTGCAAGGCTACACAGCAATCTCACACCAAGCCTGTGAGCAGATCCCCTTGTTTATCAGTTGAAGATATGCCCCAAGTTATGTTATCAAGATATCACACAGTGCTTCATAATTCACCTCAGGTAAAGTTAAAGGAAGCAAAGTAAACAAGGATGATCTAAGCTTAATTTAGCTGACTTCATTTGAAGCAAACTAAGTAATATTGAATAATCTCAGCAAAACTTATGAGGTGGTATTAACCTCTACCTGGTTAACAGAGGGGGGAAAAAAACCCTTTAAGTTTTCCAGTGGCAAAAATTCATAGTGGTTCACTACTATTACCCATGTTATTCCTTGCAGGTAGAAGGTATTTAGTTTTGTGCAGCTTTTTTTGTTTGCTTTTAATGCTACTTTGGTGAATTTGCTGACTCCCTCAATGTTGATCCCCAATTTTGGAGATACTAAAGATCTGCCTGGTCCGGGACAACCTGCTTTAAGTGACTCTGCTTGAGGAGAAAGGCTGAACACAATGACTTCCAAAGTCCATTCCCAATGTCAATCACTGCATGATGATGTAGCTCCCTCACCTGAAGCAAACAGCACCATTATATAGGAAGGCCTGATACTGGCTACTGGAAGATATGCAAACAGCTCAGAAGTAACCAAAAACATCCATAAGCAAAACCACAGGTCCTCATGTAAGTTACCATGAGGTTGCTGTGCACCTTCAACTGTCTTAATGGTACAGACATAGACTTTGAAATATTTTAAGAGGACTGAAATGTTGCCAAAAATCAAGACTTAAGCTAGTACCCCACAATTTTAGAGAACTTCCAAGAACTGAACTACTACATTGCAGCCTGTATCTCTAATCTCTTAAGTCTTCCTTCCAACCCTCTAGAAAGTCCCCCAGGTCTCACTTTTTGCATATCTAGTTGCTGGCAGGCCCTCTGGCTTTTTCTCAGGTCCCCTTCCATCTTACGTTCTTCTTGTTTGGTTTTGAATCTTATTCTGTTAAGAACAAGCAGAAGTAAATAAGCAGGCAGACACACAGTGACAGATGCATTACAAAACCCCAAAATCTAAGATTCTATTCCTACTAATTTTCTCAGATCTGAACAACATTGAATTTAAGTCATTCTGACATTTCTGTGGGAGCACACTTGTATTTCTTGGGAATTACACCTTCAAGATACCTTTTTTGACCACACTACACTGTTTCTTCATTAGGTTTTCCTAAGACATAAAAAACTGGTTCACTAAACATCTGCAAAAGATAGAGCCTTTCCTCAGCTTCTCCATATATTACAAGAAGATCAGGAGAAAACCAAAACATTACAATCTTTAAAAATGTACCCTGACTTTTAAAACCATTATACCAACAGTGCTCAGGAATATCTGTGGATTTTATATTTCAAAATATGTTTCTCCAATTAAAAAAGCTGCATATGACTTGAGAAAAGTTGCTATCTATATTGTTTGCATTATTAACAATTAACGAAACTAAAAGGTGCAGCACATGCTTTTAGCATTACAGTGTTCAGCTGCTTTTGCTTTAGAACTGAGAAACAATTACTCTGTATTGTAACTCTCACCCTTCATTCAAAACATTCAAAAATACTAGTACATTTAAAGAATAGCCAAACACCAGCAAAAGAACTGCTATTTAGACATTCCTTGGAATATCAGTTGTATGACTTTACCTGAACTGATCTGCAGCTTGTTCATTTGCTTGTTTTTTCATATGGAGTTTTTGTCTATAGTTTTCCAGTTTTTCTTCAGCTTTTCTCTTTTTTAATTCCTCATGACCAAGCCCACTTCTGCCTATGTAAGTTTAAAAGATGAATGTAAGCAGTTGAGAAGCTCTGATATGTAACTAAATAAATCAGAAAACACCACAAACCTGTTTTTATGTTCAGAGGAATAGGTTCAACAATGCCTTCTCCTGTGAGAGAAAATTAAAAAAGTCAATTAGAAAACCCAAGTTTTTCTCAAACAATGATTTGTGCAGTATATTCAAGTAGGCATTTGCCATTATTGTCATTTTTTTGCTTGGAAGTTGAAAACTTCCCAATCAATATACATTTAGTGCACTACAAATGACACAGCTGTAGTGGAAAGTCCCTCTCTTTTTTGGCTTGTCTGCTGGAATCCTATGTACTTTTTTGTGACAGGACCAAACTGAAAGAAAAGGCATTGACAGTAACGGTGTAAGATGCCTGTGATGAAGACTGCTTTGTTACTGCCTTCTGGGGCCTTTTCATTCTGCAGTCTCACAACAATGATGAGGAATAAAAAGAATCTGTCTGGGCCAGTTCATTGTGGTTGTCTGCCAGAGATGCTGAACTGGCACAGCAGTTATTAATTCCTTGTTTTACTGATTTTACTTCATCCATTAAGGCTTCATAAGGGTAGGCCAGTGTGCACTGTTTCTTTTTCAAAATCCCCCTATAAATTTCAAGAGGGTCTGATGTTTTTTTGAACACTATTAGCTTTGCAAAACCATCAAAACATCCTTAATGCAATTCCTGTCGGTATGAAGGTACTCAAGTGCACTTACTGAGCTGCAAGTGCTGCTCGTCCCTTGCATCCCTCAACAGTCTGTACTATTTTTACTTCAGTTTTAGGGATTTGCTCCATATTTTGTTCTGTCACAGCACCTTCACAGTTCTGTAATGCTATGACTCTCCAAGAGGCACTTACTGACCTTACTGTCAACAAAAGAAGTGACAGCTGCAGTCTGTAAAATATTAAGGTATAACTGAATACAGACATACACTTCCAGAGAATGACAAACTTACCACTTTTGCCAAGGGCCTGACCGCTCTTGTAGCCCATCTTCTGGAGCAGAGCAAAGCCTTTGTTCTCGTTGCCCAATGCACTTTTCAGTACCAAGTCACGTCTCTCTTTTTCTTCTTCTTTTATGCTTTTTTGTCTGTTCTTCTCATTGGCTTCTTTTTGCTTTTCTTCTTTCTGAATAGCTTCCTTCACCCGCCTCACCATGGGCAAGCCTGGCCTGACATCCTGTCTGCGGGTTAGTAATTCCAGCAAATATTAGCGTGTTTTTTGCTTTTTTAACAGGTTTACAATCACTTAAGAGGGGTGAAAAAAAAGACCTGCCTACTTACTTAAGAAATAAATCAGACATATAGTCTTCCTCTTCATCTCCCTCCATGCTCAGCACGCCTCTATGCCGACGCCTCCCCTATGGACACCGTCAGTGCGTGTTACCGAGCATTTTATTTCTCTGTGCGTCCCCTGCGAGGTGGGGGACGGAGGGGCCGCGGGACGAAAACACCTGAACCCGCCGGGCCGGGCTGTCCCCTGCCAGCCCCGGGGCACATGCGCCCGCCCCCAAGCCCACAGCGCGTCTTCCTGGGCTCCGCTACGACCACCACGGGCGGCCGCGACGCCGCTCCACGCCCGGGAGCCCCCGCCAGCTGCAGCCAAGCGCCAGGAGCAGGGACAGCGGCGGGAACAGCCCGGGAACCGCGCACCCACCGGCCCGACCCGGCCCGGCCGCTCCGCGGCGCCTGCGCGGGGCTGCCCCGCCCGCCGGCGCCTGCGCCTCTCCCGCTTCCTGCTGCGCGGCCGCGGT